CCAGGGGACCACAAAACTACTTTTGGTTCCGTCAGAAACCACCCCTGTCCACAGAAACTTGCGTTTTAAGGGTGGTCTAATCTGGCGGTCAGCGTACGATGGGCTGCCTACCTCGCAGGCAAACCGGTCCAAGAAGAACAGGTGTAACTCACTTGAAATGGACCGGCGGGTCGAAACTTCGACGCAGAGATTGAAAGGACCAATCCCAACCATTTCCAGCGATTTTCAAATTTTTCATTTTGGCAAAATTTACAAAGGCATGGGTCCGGTTTTTGACAGAGGAGTACTCGAATAGACAGGGGTGAACCAGGGACCACAAAACTACCTTTGCTTCTCTCAGAAACCACTCTTGTTCACAGAAACTTGAGTTTTAAGAGCTAGTCTCTCTAACTATGGGCGGGGAGGCTACCTAAGGCGCACTGGCTCAGAACTCTGCTGTAGTGGGTCGGCACCATGATATTTAAACAGGGCAACTGAAAAGGGAGTTTGCCCGACCAATCCAAACCAATTCCAGCAATTTTCCAAATTGTCAAGATTTTTAAAAGAAATTTTCAGTGATAACACATCAGCCTGGATTTTGACAGAGGAGGATTGAAATCAACAACAAAGAACCAAGGCACCACAAAAAACATCAAAAACCACCCTTTGATGCACAGGAAGGTAAGCTCCTTCTCATAGAGGCTGTACAGAGACAAATTGGACCAGCGTTGGTTACTTTCATGTCAACTCACCTATTCTTTTGGGTAAAATAACTCCGTAGACTTCTCTTGCTCATGTCAAGAACATTTCTGGGCCGAGTTCCTGCAATCATATTAAACGGTACTTTTAGTGCTCATCAACTATTAATTAAATTTAAATTACTCATACAATACACGTTTAAATGCCTCTCCCCCCATACGTCTCTAAATGACCATGGTCTTTCAAATTAATAATTTGGCACTGGACTCAAGCATTAAGTACAAAGGGGCAGCTGCAAATTATCTGCAACACACAATGATTGATTGTTTGGGGGATTACGCAAATAGTACCACTCGGTTTGCACCCCAACCAGAAAGTAATAAAGTTTTCTGTTCCACGAGAATAATATAGAGTAAAATATATGATATGTGATAAAACACTGACAGTGACCTGCAACAGTATTTAACATACTGTATGGAATGGAGAAGTGTACCCATTTAACACCTTTTCAACAAAGCTTACAGTGAGCCAAGTTTACATCACGGGCATCATTTACTCGTCCTCAAAAAAATAACTGACAACTTGTGCACTGGGAGCACACTAACCTCTTACACATTACAGAAATAACCGGAATGGAACAATTCAATATTCCGGACCGGAAACAATCAAGCACTATATACCTTGCGATTAATATCGAAAAGCGGTGATGTCCACCTTAAAATTCTGATTAAAATCCTATGTCCAATTAAATGAGAAGGTATTATCGGTATTGAGCAGAAGACGCCGATCGTGACGCCTGTTTGTTTACGTTTCCATAAAGGCGCGGCAAATGCGGGGTGGGGAGGAGGAGAGGGGTAGGGGACGCGGCACGGCAAAGGGGGAGAGCAATAATTACGGCAGAAGTTCTGATCAGACAATGAAACTCACCGATATATCGTGGTCGCGGGATGTGATTCTGTAGGGCTCCCGACCCATGCAACATGTGGCCGCAGCTCCATATGGGGAACCTCAGGGAGCTGTGGCCGAGGACGCCTGAGGTAGGCAATCCCGCCTCGCTTGTCCGGGATGTGATCCTTTGGGGATGCCTCTCGCCCCGTGCATCGTTGTGTGGCTGCAGGGGGCAACGCCAGGAAAGTGCTGTAGCTGTGACAATAATGAAATGATCAGGATAATAAACTATTATGGGCGATTTGCTGTTAATAATCATTGTAATTCGCGACTTTTAAGAAATATGCACCAGCCCGGGTACACGGCGTTTGGAGCCGAATCGCATTCGTCGTGGGAGTGTCATCGGCGTGCTCGGGAGGTCCCCGATGACGTCCCCGTCCCCGGAGGCCCGGACGACCTTGGCACTGTCAGATTTGGACTCAGCGTGCGAACAAACCTGCAGGTCGGAGAAAAATAGGTCTGGGATGAGGAAAGTACTCCCCCTTTTTAAATAAAAAATAGCCCACAGGGACAGGGCTAGCCCACAGGGCTAAGAAAGAGACAGTCCCCTCGAACAGGCCACAGAATTCCCAGCGAAGGCGTGGACGAGCGCCCGAGCCGAGCGAGCGGAGGGGAGGGGAGGG